TAGGCTCATATTTGATGGGTTTGGGGGGGGTTTAAGGGGGTTTTGGGGTGCCCCAAGTTTGGGGATTCACTCCTTGACCCCTCCCTGGGTTTGGGGTGGGGCCCAAAATTGGGGGCTCGGGGGTGATTTTGGGTCAATTTTAGGTTATTTTGGGGTGTTCTGCTCATTTTGGTGTCATTCCATTTTGAGGGAGTTTGGGGGGGCTTAAGGAAGTTTGGGTGGGTTTGGGGTGCCCTAAGTTTGGGGGTTCACCCCTTGACTCCTCCCAAGGTTTGGGGGGCCCCAACTTGGGCCTCAAGGAGGGTTTGGGGGGACCTTAGAGATGATTTTTGTCATTTTAGCTGATTTTGGGATGGGTTTGGGGGTGTTCTGGGCTGATTTTAAGAGAGGGTTTGGGGATTTTTTTGGGGTCCCCTCTCGATGTCTCTCCCCCTCCCTAGGATGTGGGGGGCCCCCCTCGCGGTTTGGGGGCGCTGAGAACAGCCCTGAGCATCCTGGAGAAGTATGGCAGGAACTTGCTGCACCCCAAACCCCCAAAACACTGGAGGGGAGTCAGCTACGGCAACCCCGTGTTTCGATCCACCCTGGGGGGCATCAAGGTACCCCCAAAACCCACCCCAGGGCACCCCAAAACCTTGGAGCACCCCAAAAACTCACCTGGTAACCCCCAAACCCTTCAACTGTGTCACACCTGTCCCGTTGACTCCAATGGGTTGACCTCGTCTCCCACCTACCCCCATAGACCAAAGCACACCTTTTGCCCCTCCCAGTGTCTCCCAGTATGGCCCAGTACTCACACAGTCCCTCCCAGTGGCCTCCCAATATGTCCCAGTGCCTCTCAATCCATCTCAGTGATCTCCAGGTGCCCCTAAATCTCCTTCTAATGCCTTTTGAGGACCTCTCAGTCCCTCCCAATGCCTTCCCAGTATATCCTAGTCTTTCCCAGTACTCTTCTAGTGCCTCTAAATCCCATTACAATGTCTTTTAGTGCCCTCCCAGTCACCCTCAAACCCCTCCCGCTCCCCTCCTAGTCCCTTCCAGTGCCCTCCCAGTGCCCCTAAATCCCCTTCTAATGCCCTTTAAGGACCTCCCTGTCCCTCCCAATCCCTTCCCATCCCCTCCCAGTGCCCCCCACTCCCCTCCCAGTGCCTCCCAGTAACTCCAGTCCCTGCAGGGAGGGGTGGGGGTGCTGCAGCTGTTGGGCTACTCAGAGCAGACAGGGGAGGGGCTGAGGTTCCCCCCCAGTTCGGAGGGTCCCCACGGTCCCCACGTGGCCTCGGTGACAGCTGACGTGATGGTGCTGAGGGCAGAGCTCGACCTGCTGCTGGCTGTGAGTACTGGGAGGCACTGGAAGGGGATTGGGAGGGATTGGTATACTGTGATGTAGTGGGATGGCACTGGGAGGTTACTGGGATATACTGGAAAGGACTGGGAGTGGTTTGGGGAGAGCTGGGAGGGCACTAAAGGGCATTAGAAGGGACTTTGGGGTCACTGGGAGGGATTGGGAAGTGATTGGGATACACTGGGATGGTATTGGGAGGGCACTGGGCCATACTGGGAGACCCTAACCCCTTTGTCTCCCCCAGAACCAGCACCCGAACCCTCAGTTCTTCACTGAGATACTGGTGGGAGCAGAGGTGAGACTGGGAGGGGATTGGGAGGGACTGGTGGGGAGTGGGAGGGATTCTGTAAGTCATACTGATCCCTGTTGGTGCTCCCTGGTTTCCTACTGGTCCTTACTGGTCTTTGTGCTGTTTTCTAGGAGTCACTGGGAGCCGATGCAATACCGATAGCGACCACAGACCTCCGAGCAGGTAGGGGGCGCCAGAGATGGGCTTGGGGTGGGTGGGACTCAGGTCTGCCCATTGAAGTAAATGAGGTAGGTGAGACCTGTGTAGGAGCACAGGTGAGAGGTCTGAGGGCGTTTGGAGGACTGGGAGGGACTGGGAAGGGGTTTTGGGGGTGTCCTTGAGGGGGTTTGGGGCTGTCCAGGAGGGACACCAAGAGCTGGGAGGTCAGGTCTACCCCCTGAAGTCAAAGGGACAGTTGGGAGATCAGGTCTACCCATTATAGTCAGAGTGGGATTTGGGGGTCCTGGGAAGGAGTGGGAGGGACTGGGGTATACTGGCAGGGAGTGGGAGCTCACTGGGAGTTACTGGGCTGAACCTGGGAGATCAGGTCTACCCACAGGAGGCAATGGAGCAGGAGAGGCGTGTGTGGGGGCACAGGTGAGAGGTTTGAGGGGGTCCCTGAGGGAGTTTGGGAAGACTGAGAGGGCACTGGGATGTACTGGGAGGAACTGGGAAGGGGTTTGGGGGTGTCCACAAGGAACCCCAAGGTCTGGGAGATAAGGTCTACCCATTGAAGTCAAAGGGACAGTTGGGAGATCAGGTTTACCCGTTAGAGTCAGAATGGGATTCAGGGGCACTAGGAGGGAGTGGGAGGGAATGGGGTATACTGGGGGGGATTGGAAGCTCACTGGGAGTTACTGGGCTGAGCCTGGGAGATCAGGTCTACCCATTGGAGTCAATGGGCACAGGAGGGAGGTCAGGTCGACCAACAGAGGTCAATGGCAGAGGTGAGACCTGTGTGGGGGTGCAGATGAGGGGATTTGGGGGTCCCCTGTCCCCCCTTGATCCTTTTGTGTGCCCCCCCCAGGGACCCCCGAGGACTCCCCAAATCCAGGGCTGGGGAAGGGTTGGGCCTGTGCCTCTTGTACCTTCCTGAACGACCCCCCGAGGGTGTTGTGTGCCGTATGTGAGCGCCCCCGGCTGGCAGGGAGGCCAAACTGCAGCCTGCAGGTAGGACTGGGAGGGGATTGGGAGGGATTCAGAGGTACTGGGAGGAGGCTGAGAAGGACTGGGAGGAACTGGGAGGGGATTGGAAGGGACTCAGAGGTACTGGGAGGAGATTGAGAAGGACTGGGAAGGACCGGGAGGGGACTGGGAAGTCCCTAAAAGGCATTAGAAGGGGATTTAGGTGGACTGGGAAGGACTGGGAGGTCACTGGGCCGTACTGGGAGGGTCCCTAACCCCCTTTGTCCCCCCCTCAGGTGTCCCTGGGGGAGCCTCAGCTGGTCCAAGGTGGCACCCAGGAGGGCACAGGTGGCACCCAGGAGGGCACAGGTGGCCCCCCAGGTAGGTCTGGGGGGTTCCTAATCGGCTCCAGTTGCCCCCAGATGTGTCTTGGGGTGTCCCGTTGCCCCCAGGTTTCCCCCACGTGTGTCCCAGTTGCCCGCAGGTGTCCCTCAGGTGTGTTGTGGGGTGTCCTAGGTGTGTCCCAGTTGACCCCTCCCCAAAATGTGTCCCAGTCGCCCCCAGTTCCCAGCAGGTGTGTCCCAGTTGCGCCCCGTGGCCGCCTGGTGTATTCAGGTGTGTCCCAGTTGCCCCAAAGTGTATCCCATTTGCACGCAGTTGCTCCCACTTAGCCCTAACTGCCCCTTGTCCACCCCCAGGTCTGGCCCTGCCCTCACTGCACTTACCTGAACCTTAGCCCTGCCCCCACCTGTGCCCTGTGCCAGCGCCCCCTGGTGGCCACGCCCCCTCCGGCACCAGACCACGCCCCTTCCGGCCCAGACCACGCCCCCTCCCAGCACGCACTGCGGCAACGACACCTCCGGGAGGAAGGGAGACGCCTAGTGGCCATTGTGAGGGTGAGACTGGGAGACACTGGGGGGTACTGGGCTGTGCTGGGAGGGATTGAGGGGGTTAGAAAGGGGTTTAGGAGTACTGCGTGGGACTGGAAGGTGCTAGGAAGGCATAGGGAGCCACTGGGTTGAACTGGGAGGGCAATGGAAGGCACTGGAGGGGTACTGGGGTGAACTGGGCTGGACTAGGAGGCACTGAGCTGAATCTGGAGATCAGGTCTACCCACTGAAGGCAGTGGGACAGGAGGGAGATCAGGTCTAGCCGTTGGAGTCAATGGGAAGGGTGGGAGATCGGGTCTACCCACGATAGAATGGGATTTAGGGGCACCGGGAGGGAGTGGAAGGGACTGGGGTATACTGGGAGGGACTGGGAGCTCATTGGGAGTTACTGGGCTGAACCTGGGAGTCAGGTCGACCTGTTGGAGTCCATGGGACAAGTGGGAGATCAGGGCTACCCATTCAAGTCAGTTAGAGATTTAGGGGCACCGGGGACTTACTGGGCTGAGCTGGGTGACACTGGGAGGTACTGGGATAAACTGGGAGGCACTGGAAGGGTCCCTAATCTCCCTTCCCTCCGCAGGCTGCCGAAGCCCATGGTGTACCCCCGGAAGCCCTCGGCCCCTCCCCCTTGTGCCTCAGTCCCTCCCCTTCCCTCCCTAGCCCCTCCCCCCAGGTCCCTCCTCCTCCTCCCTGGGGGTCCCTCGGGGGGTCCTTGGCGGCCTTAGCCCAGGAGGGGTCCCGAACGGGGCAGGACCAGCCCGGAGAGGACCTTGGGACCTTCTCCCTGCGTGAGGCTGCAGGTGCCTGGCTGAGGGCAGAGGGCAGAGCCTCCAGGGCCCTCCTGCTGCTGCGAGGGGAGAGGAGGAAGAAGGTGAGGCCATGGGATATACTGGGAGGGACTGGGAGGTCAGGTCTACCCACAGAAGTCAATGGGACGGGTGGGACACCGTTGCCTCTGTAGGCGTAGCGACCTGGTTCAGGAACGACACGGTGACCGACCCCAGGCCGCTCGGGCCGTCGGCTCCCAGACACCAGTGTGGTGGATGGCAAACGGTGTTTATTGTTGGGTGGTACAGCATTATATAGCTTGGGTTTTACAGCCTCACTTACACCCTAAGCTCAGCTAAACGCGATCGGCTGTCAGAACTAACAGGGCAGGGCCCTGTCTTTCCGTACGTCGCGATACCTTCCGGCCGCCAGACCCTGACTACCCACATTTCCTCCCTCCCTATGCAGAATTAAACTAGCAAAAATAGAACGATCCTAAAAAACACGTTATAAGTTTTGTATAAAAAAAAAATACTAAATGCATGTTGCTCCTATGCTTATATGACAATCTTAAAATATGTATCAAAAACTTGTATATAAAAAATATAAGGCACGTTAAACAAGAGGTAACTGGGAGATAACTGGGAGTGGTGGGGTATGAATGGGGATGGCTAAGGGAAATTCTAAACAAAATATTCTTAAAGCAGTTGTTGGCGTTCGAGCAACACGATGTTAACCGTCTCTAGCCAGCTCTTAACAAATGACACGAGAATGTTTAATATACAGGGTCCAAAAATCAATACTACCACGATTGTTGAGATTGGTCCTGTTGAGGTGGTTACCAGGGTGCTCAGCCATGGTGAATGGTTAAACCATGATGCAAACCAATCTTGTTGTGCCTCTCGTTGCCTTTTCCGTTTTTCCAAACCTTCTCGCAGTTTGGCTTAGCGTCTCTCGCTGTTCCGGTGCGGTCCGCGTAGACGCAGCGCTCTTCTCTTCGTGCGGCGCACGCTCCCCATTGCTGTAGGAACATCAGGTCTAACCCTCTGTGAGTTTGTAACACTGCTTCAGATAGTGACCTGATTGAGTTCTCCAATGCGCTTATCGATTGTTCAATTCTGACTAGGTCTTCATCTCCTGCCGTTCTCAAGGCGCTGAATTCTTTATTCTGTTGGCCCAAGGATGCTACTCCTGTACCCACTCCAGCTCCTCCTGTGATCTTTAGAGTAGCTGTTGTTAATGCTGAAAAGGGTTCTTGTTTTGACAGGTGGTGTTCTGAGGTAATCTGTGAGTCATAGACAAAGTCTGCGGCGTGGTAAAAGATTTTAGGGACTGTGGTTACCTGGACACAATATTCTGAGGTTTCATCAGATTTGTCTGACGATGAACAGGGTGTAATTCCCATAACAGAACAAACCCACTTGGCATCGTTAGCTGGTACTAACCACTTTGCAGGGGCTTTATCCTGCGCCGTATCGACGCAGAGTTGTCTTTGTGCTTTGGGACTTTACCTACACACAACACCCTTTCCTACCACATGTGCCAATGGGATTCCTTGTCTTTCTCTGTCCCAGTTGCATTGGGTCGGATTTGCACTGTTTGACCGCGTGGGTTTGT